TCGTGTTGAAGTCCTAGCAACTCTCAGGAGCCAAGCTGCCAAATTGGGTCACCCATCCAAGGGTATAACCATGACGGTATAGTGAGTCATCCGCGACCCCTTTCACAAACAAACCTAACGTTATCTCAAAATGACTCTAAAGAATCTTCTCTTCTCAAAACGCTATTATTTCTCTCTGTGTTTATAAGTGCGTATGTGTGTTTAAAACAATAATGTATGACATGAGTGAAGTTTCTTTTACGCCGCATTTAGCAGCATTCCAGCAATATCACGGCGAGGGACACCAGAAATGGGCTTCACAGATTGTACCAATGTGCCTAATCGAACCCTTAATGTTGGATGGTTGATGGTTTGTTGTTCATTCATCATAACGAGAAAATGTTCACCAAGAGGGACTGAGAACTATTTTATGATGGATATTAGATCACATGGTCAAGTCAAAGGTAGCTGTCTTTAACGCCGCACTCAGCAATATTCCAGCTATATGGCGGCGGTCTGTAAATAACCGAGTCTGGACTAGACAATCCAGTGATCAACAACATGAGCATCGATCTGCGCAATTGGGAACCGATGACATGTGTCAACCAAGTCAGTGAGCCTGACCAGATCCCGTTAGTCGCCTCTTACAACAAGCATGGATTACTGAAGGTTCATTCTAAACTAGACCTTCGCGGGTATCAAAGCTTTAAATCATAAGGAAGTAACATACATCACAACAGGTTGACATGGCAACAGGATGCAGGGTCATCTTCCTGCTGAGTCTCCTCCTTGTTTCAATGTATTCGTAGTAGCTGCATCCTTGATTCTGAGATGGTACGTCGGTGACTAATGAGGTGAACACACCAACAGCCTCTACATCCTCCTGGCTTGATGCAGCAGCCGTGATGCCGACGCGGGATGTGTATGTAGGTGGGAGAAACATGCTTTGGTCACGTAAGTCAGGTTAAGTGTCCAGTTCAGGATCTTTAGGCGTCAGGCTAGTCTCACAGTCCCTGAACCATATTACTGTCCCTACTGCCTAGCCCTCACCGCGATGCTGAAGCCCTAAATGAAGCAAGTCCAGATTTCCTCAGGTTCTGAATCTCTGGTCTTCTTGGGGTTCCTTTACAATTTAATTGGATTTGTTTGTTACTGTCAAAATTATATACATTCAGAGATTACATTCGTTAGTCTAGCGTCAGGCCTTCATGTGCACACGTTTTCTACAGTCGGAATTACAGACTAAGTTCAAATAAATATTATTAGTATTTTAGTAACTTAGTACATGCATAGCATAAATGTTTTGCTAAATTAGTAAAACTGTCACAGTTTGGCGATGTCAACACATTAAATTCACGGATGTTGGAAAGTAGAGTGTGAGTGAGTGAGTTTAGTTTTACGCCGCACTCAGCAATGCTCCAGCTACCTGGCGATGTAACTGTCTGTAAATAATCAAGTCTGGACTATAATATTATAGTCTGGAATATTGATCTTCAGTAACCCATGTTTGTCGTAAGAGCCGACTAACGGGATCGGGTGGTTAAGCTCGCTGACTTGGTTGACACATGTCATCGGTTCCCAATTGAGCAGATCGATGCTCATGTTGTTGATCACTGGGTTGTCTGGGCCAGATTCGATTATTTACAGACCGCCGCAATATAGCTGGAATATTTCTGAGTGCGGCGTAAAACTAAACTCGCTCGCTCGCTCACTCACTCACTCACTCACTCTAGCCTGAGACACCATGCCACAGTTTAACGTGAATACCCCACCCAGACTTGTATTTTGTTTCTGATCGGATTGGTCCTCGTTTTTACCCAGTTATACGGAGAGACGTATTTTGGTATGGTCGGAGCACCGACTCTCGTTCTCCATGCAAAAACTCCATATGTTAAACCATGGGGGCTTCTCAGAGGGAGGTTTCGACACACAGTCAGTGGTGTGTTTCTTTTACAAAAAACATCATGGTTCTGTTTAGGTTGCACAAAATATTTTTGCATGTTTTCTCCTTTCTTCGATTATGTGGTCCATTATTTTTACGTTATTTTAAGTTTATTCCAATTATTCATAAGATCGATTTTTTTCTGGTTGCTTTCATTTTTTTTCTGTCATTATTTTAAAGTGGCACCGTTAGGCCTTCCTTGTCTACAGGTAAAACTATACGTAGGGAGTTTCGTTATTCCAAAGTGCCACCGTTAGGCCTTCCTAGTCTACAGGTAAAACTATACATAGGGAGTTTCGTTATTTCAAAGTGCCACCGTTAGGCCTTCCTAGTCTACAGGTAAAACTATACGTAGGGAGTTTCGTTATTCCAAAGTGCCACCGTTAGGCCTTCCTAGTCTACAGGTAAAACTATACGTAGGGAGTTTCGTTATTTCAAAGTGGCACCGTTAGGCCTTCCTAGTCTGTAGGTAAAAACTATACGTAGGGAGCTTTGTTATTTCAAAGTGGCACCGTTTTCCTAGTCTATTTAAAAGTGGAGCCTCGTTATTTCAAAGCCTTAGGCCTTCCTAGTATTCTACAGGTAAAACTATACGTAGGGAGCCCTTTCGTTATTTCAAAGAAGCACCGTTAGGCCTTCCTAGTCTACAGGTAAAACGTATACGTAGGGAGTTTCGTTATTTCAAAGTGGCACCGTTAGGCCTTCCTAGTCTATAGGTAAAAACTATACGTAGGGAGTTTCGTTATTTCAAAGTGGCACCGTTAGGCCTTCCTAGTCTATAGGTAAAAACTATACGTAGGGAGTTTCGTTATTTCAAAGTGGCACCGTTAGGCATTCTATTCTGAAGGTAAAACTGTAGGTAGGGAGCCTCGTTATTTCAAAGTGGCACCGTTAGGCATTCTATTCTAAAGGTAAAACTATACGTAGGGAGCCTCGTTATTTCAAAGTGGCACCGTTAGGCATTCTATTCTGCAGGTAAAGCTATACGCAGGGAGTGTCGTTATAGCGAGTGTGTCTTATACCGAACAATGATACGTCTACACCCAATAATGTCACAGTTGGAAATGAATTATTGTCGTCGCCTTTGCATTGCGACAACGATTACGACAACTAGGTCGGAAGGATGCATTGTGGCTGTTGGTGCTGCCGTCTCACAGTGGTGATCTCTTAACCTCCTGAACCAAAACGTTCACAAGTTTCATAAACTGACAGACCATCTCACCATGGATCAATTCTGAAATACACCACAACATAAAATAAGTGTTATAGAAAATCTTAAACATCTAACGTCCGCAGCAAACAATGACATATGATGGTGTGAGTCATAGGTAATAGAGGTGGTGTGGAGGTCTAGCAGGGGTATATAGAGGTGGTGTGGAGGTCTAGCTGGGTATGTGGAGGTGGTGTGGAGGTTAAACTGGGTATATGGAGGTGGTGTGGAGGTTAAACTGGGTATATGGAGGTGGTGTGGAGGTTAAACTGGGTATATGGAGGTGGTGTGGAGGTTAGCTGGGTATATGGAGGTGGTGTGGAGGGTATATGGAGGTGGTGTGGGGTGGGTATATGGGACGTGGTGTGAGGTTAAAACTGGGTATATAGAGGTGGTGTGGAGGTCTAACTGGGTATATGGAGGTGGTGTGGAGGTTTAAACTGGGTATATGGAGGTGGTGTGGAGGTCTAAACTGGGTATGGAGGTGGTGGGAGTGGTGGGGAGGTGGTGGAGGTTAAACTGGGTATATGGAGGTGGTGTGGAGGTTAAACTGGGTATATGGAGGTGGTGTGGAGGTTAAACTGGGGTATATGGAGGTGGTGTGGAGGTTAAACTGGGTATATGCTGGGTATGTGGAGGTGGTGTGGAGGTTAAACTGGGTATATGGAGGTGGTGTGGAGGTTAAACTGGGTATATGGAGGTGGTGTGGAGGGTGGGAGGGACGGTGGTGTGAAGCTGCTGGGTATATGGAGGTGGTGTGGAGGTTAAACTGGGTATGGTGTGGAGGTTAGGTGGTGTGGAGGTTAAACTGGGTATATGGAGGTGGTGTGGAGGTTAAACTGGGTATATGGAGGTGGTGTGGAGGTTAAACTGGGTATATGGAGGTGGTGTGGAGGTTAAACTGGGTATATGGAGGTGGTGTGGAGGTTAAACTGGGTATATGGAGGTGGTGTGGAGGTTAAACTGGGTATATGGAGGTGGTGTGGAGGTTAAACTGGGTATATGGAGGTGGTGTGGAGGTTAAACTGGGTATATGGAGGTGGTGTGTGGAGGGTATATAGAGGTGGTGTGGAGGTTAAACTGGGTATATGGAGGTGGTGTGGAGGTTAAACTGGGTAGGTATATGGAGGTGGTGTGGAGGTTAAACTGGGTATATGGAGGTGGTGTGGAGGTTAAGCTGGGTATATGGAGGTGGTGTGGAGGTTAAACTGGGTATATGGAGGTGGTGTGGAGGTTAAACTGGGTATATGGAGGTGGTGTGGAGGTTAAACTGGGTATTAAACTGGGTATATGGGGTAGGTGGTGTGGAGGTTAAACTGGGTATATGGAGGTGGTGTGGAGGTTAAACTGGGTATATGGAGGTGGTGTGGAGGTTAAACTGGGTATATGGAGGTTGTGTGGAGGTTATACTGGGTATGTAGAGGTGGTGTGGAGGTTATGCTGGGATATTTGGAGGTGGTGTGGATTGGCTGCGTGCTGCTATGTGCCTGGATCTACACTGGGTAACAGAACTATACCAGCCATTACTCTATTACTTATCTGTTTATTACTTCTGCAGTTAGCTATCTGTCCTGACACCACATGCCAGAAAGTATTAGATGCATTTAACTTTATCACATCATACTGTATGTACTGCATGTATTTCTTCCACTACATGATGTTGCACACGACACTGCAGGCGACATATTCCGCCCGTTGCAACATTGTAACAAATATATGGTATATCGCCGAGCTGGTGACACTGACCAGTGGGTGTCACCAAGTGGGGAAGTCAAGGTCGTGACATGTGACGTCACGGTGGGCGGGACTTGAACAACAACACTTCTGAGAACAATGATAGTTCTTATCATTAAATTGTGTTAAGCATAACACTACATTAACTAGGAACATATGACGCATGCAGCCACTTCCCGCCAACACCACTATCATGCTCTCCGCCCAGGATGCACTGTGCAGGTCCGGCTGAGGGAGCCTGTATAAAACGCTTTGGGTATGCACACAATATATTCCCGACGATTTCAGCGAAATACTGACATCCACAGCATGAAGATAGCAGTAGTCATCCTCGTGTCCCTAGGTAAGTTGGATTTTATATCATTAGTAGTATGCAATCCTTAAAACAAACCCTAATGAGCAAGTGTGTTGGCTTGTTGTTTAACGCCGCACTCAGCAACATCTCGTAATATGACGGTGGTCGGTAAATAATCGAGTCTGGACCAGAAAATCCAGTGATCAGCATCATAAGCATACGATGACATGCGACAACCAACTTATCGAGGCTGACCACCCGATCCCATCTGTCGCCTCTATGACAAGCATCGGTTGCTGAAGACCAATTCTAATCCGGATCTTCACGGCTGGAGCAAACTGTAGACTAAAGATTGGTTGGTTGGTTGGTTTGTCGTTTAACGTCGCACTCAGTAATATTCCAGCTATATGGCGTCACTGTTTTCCTCTTCAGTCTACTGTCATTGCATCCCAACTTCGTAGATCGATGTTCATGCTCTTGATCACTGTATTGTCAGGCCCAGACTCGATTACTTACACACTGCCGCCATGTAGCTGGAATATTGTTGAGTGCGGCGTAAAACTAACTTCACTCACTCAAAGACAATTCTCAACCGGGTCTGGCATCTTGGCTGGTTGTTAATGCTGCTTAACGCGGCATCAGCTTTTCACAGAGCATACCTGTCAACTTGGCTGGAGACTCACGCTTTTATCACTTATGTCATGCTCTCACCACAAAACCGAAACTGATAAATCTCACGCCAAACTGGGTTCAGATGAAATCCGTTAAAAATTGTACAAATGGGTCTGAATACATCGTTTTCTAAAAACTGAATTTGCAATAATACGTTGGTTTCAGAGGGGCTTCAGGTTCGGCACTTGGCCCCCGGCATCAAGGTTTTATTACTCTAACTAAACACACAGAGCAATATTCCAGCTATATGGCGGTCTTGGAGCTGCAAGCTGAAGCAAGGTGTGTCATGTATGACTGATTCAACACATTTTTTATTGACAGCTATCCTAACTCCGGGCAACGCAACCTGGTCTTGGCGAAACTCACGTAAGTAGAAGTAGAAGTAACATATAATTATCTATCCATTGCATTCATAAACGAGATGTTTGTAATTATTTGGTCGGCATTCTAGATGTTAGTAACATACAACTTTATGGGTGACAACTTATTATTTATTGCATAGAGCGACGTTTCGATGTAGATTCTTACATCGTTACCAAGCTCGTTATTTAGCTTGATAACAATGTAAGAATCTACGTCAAAACGTCGTCCTATGCAATAAACAAGAAGTTGTCATCTATAAAGTTGTATGTTTCATTTGCGAGATGTTTGGCCCTGCGCCCTTATTCTCGAAACGTTCGTAGCCCAAAGAATTCGTAACTTTGATCGTAGCCAATGTGTTAAGAATGGGCTTAAGAAATTCGTAGGGCTACGAACGTTTCGAGAATAGCTAGCCTGGGTACCGATCCACAAAACGTTCGTAACATTACGACCTGTCGTAACTCTATTTATCACAGGTTTACGAATGTTGTAGCGCTACGATTTATCCATAAACCACTTTTATCGAATTGATATTATTTGGCGCTCTCATATGTATACCAAACCACGTTACTCTATATTCGTGATTAATGACATTTGTTCATCCGGGCGATATCAGCACTTACATTACGGAATATTTTGTATGAATGTCAACAGCTTCATCAATTGATGACGAATAGTAGTGTTTACTGTTCCAAAGGTAGCGGCCATTTCTAGTGCCATTACTTAGGGAGCAGTGTAAGCCAGTTTGCTGTAAGTCGTTCAAAACACCTTATTCTTTGTGGGGTAGCTAGTATAGTCCACGTTTGGGTTTGTAAGGGGTTTAGTGCCTTTTGTCAAACTGAGTCGCCCTGTATATGGTTGGGTTAAATACCAGATCTAAGTAAATCATACAATGTGAGCCTCTCTGTATTTGGTTAAGTTAAATACCACACCTAAGTAAATCATACAATGTGAGCCTCTCTGTGTTTGGTTAAGTTAAATACTACACCTAAGTAAATCATACAATGTGAGCCTCTCTGTATTTGGTTAAGTTAAATACCACACCTAAGTAAATCATACAATGTGAGCCTCTGTGTATTTGGTTAAGTTAAATACCAGATCTAAGTAAATCATACAATGTGAGCCTCTCTGTATTTGGTTAAGTTAAATACTACACCTAAGTAAATCATACAATGTGAGCCTCTCTGTATTTGGTTAAGTTAAATACCACACCTAAGGAAATTATACAATGTGAGCCTCTCTGTATTTGGTTAAGTTAAATACCACACCTAAGTAAATCATACAATGTGAGTCTTTTTGTATTTGGTAAAGTTAAATACCAAATCTAAGGAAATTATACAATGAAGTTCAATACCAGATCTGTCTAAATCATACAATGATGTTAAATACCAGATCTGTCTAAATCATAAAATAGTGTGAAATACTAGATCTATCTAAATCATAAAATGATGTTAAATACCAGATCTATCTAAATCATACAATGATGTTAAATACCAGATCTATCTAAATCATACAATGATGTTAAATACCAGATCTATCTAAATCATACAATGATGTTAAATACCAGATCTATCTAAATCATACAATGAAGTTAAATACCAGATCTATCTAAATCATACAATGATGTTAAATACAGATCTATCTAAATCATACAATGAAGTTAAATACCAGATCTATCTAAATCATACAATGATGTTAAATACCAGATCTATCTATATCATACATTTAGAGCCAGAGCAGAACATTGAGTGATGAGACATGAATCTGGCTTGCATGGACTGCTGACTGTCCAGTCCAGTTATCATCTGAGCTCCAGATTAATGCGAAAACGCGGAATGTTCTGAGCTTGAAATAATCCTCCACTTATCTAAAAGGCACTCGTGACCTTCTTTCTCGATCAGCAAGTTGTCATTATTTCTCTGCAGGGAGGAGAGCACAACAACGGCGATGTTTTCAACTGTTCTACCAGACACCTGCACGTTATAGTCATGGTATGTCCGGCTATGGTCATCAGATGTACCAATCCTTACTCAACCTACGACAGGGATTACAGATACCGGGTCATAGAACACCAGGTGCTCACTACAGGTTCAATACAGGAACTCCAGGACGTTGGGGTGGTCACGTTCCCGTGCCATCTACATAGCGCAACAACGGGAGATTTGTTGCCGGCTTTGTCCTCGACTACCAGGATGTTCGGCAACACACACTGCCTCATCTACACGCGCGACTTCTGCTACAACGACCAGATCTACCACAATGCCTCCAACCACCACACCGACTACACCTGCACCTACGACAGCAGCTACAACGACCAGACCCACCACACTGCCTCCAACCACCACACCGACTACACCTGCACCTACGACAGCAGCTACAACGACCAGACCTACCACAATGCCTACAACTAAGGCACATATTACATCTACCCGCGCGATTCAAACAACGACAACCGCAAAGCGAACTACGGCTCCAACCACACCTACTACCACCGTCTTCATTCTACCGACTAGGGGTTCTGCATAGAAATCTCACACGTCTTCTGAAATGATCTGAAATGGTTCCTGCCCTAGATTTAAGTGTGCCCAATGCACACGTAATGCAATGGCAGCTATGGACACTTAACGACTCTTTCCCAGACTGAAGCATAAAAGTAACCGAAAATATGTGCATAGTTTATACCACAGTAAGATTGGCCTCTCCCATCCCACTTATTTCCTGCGAACAATTGGGCACAGACCACTGGATAAAAGTGGGGAGGAGCTGGAGCGGGGGTGGGGGTGGGGTGGGGTGGGTGGGGTGGGTTGTGGGGTGTTTTGTTGTTCATAGCAAGAGCCGTGGCAATGTTTTGATTGGAATTGATTTGATGTGTAAATAAATGTGTCTATTTGCAATCATCAACTGGATTGATTTTCATATTTTTTTCATTTGTAACGGTAGTTCGGATATGTCTAGAAAAGGTTCATTTCAACAATTAAATACTAGAATCTGATCGGTTTGCGAGAGGGAAAATATTTTCCATGTCGCTTCCTCAAAGGCCGGGTTTCAATTTCTTGTTGCCGAATGAGAAGTCAATCAGAACAAATACTTATCTTTGCATGTCTGAAATGAACCGACGTATAACCCAATACATTTATACAAAGGGAGGAAACTCGGTTCTTTTGCGTCGCTGCTTACTGTGGGAAAAGCGGACCTTCGCCTGGATTTCGGACTGCATCAAAGTCGAGACAATGAATGCGCTGTCAACAAAATCCCGCGGCATGGTTTGCTGTACAGGCTGGCGGCTCAGGGTACATAATGGCACATACAAAGGGATACATGGAGGGCATACACAGGGTACATAGAGTCACACGCAGGGTACATAGAGGCACACACAGGGTACATCGAGGCACACACAGGGTATATACAGGCACACGCAGGGTACATAGAGACACACCTCAGGGTACATCGATGCAAACAAAAGGTACATAGAGTCACACACAGGGTACATTCAGTCACACACAGGGTACATAGAGACAGACACAGGGTACATGGAGTCACACACAGGGTACATGGAGTCACACACAGGGTACATAGAGGCACACAGGGATACATAGAGGCACACACAGTAAACATAGAGGCACAACAGGGTACATAGACGCAAACACAGGGTAAATAGAGGCACACAAAGGGTACACAGAGTCACACGCAAGGTACATAAAGGCATACACAGGGTACATAAAGTCACACACAGGGTACATAGAGGCACACACAGGGTACATAGAGGCACACACGGGGTAATAGAATCACATGCAGGGTACACAGAGAGACACACCTAGGGTACACAGGGACAGACACACAGGGTACATAGAGGTGCACACAGGGTACAGAGGAGGCACACACAGGGTACATGGAATCACACACAGGGTACATAGAGGCACACAAAGGGTACATAGAGACACACACAGGGTACATAGAGGCACACACAGGGTACATAGGGTACACGCAGGGGGACATAGAGCACACACATGGGGTACATAGAGTCACACACAGGGTACATTAGAGTCACACACATGGTACACAGAGGCACACACAGGGTACATAGAGGCACACACATGGTACATAGAGAGGCACACACAGGGCACATAAAAACACACAGGGTACACTCAGCACACACAGGGGTACAGGGCAACACCGAAACACATAGGGTACATATTCAGTCACACACACAGGGTACATAGGGCACACACAGGGTACATAGAGGCACCCACAGGGTACATTCAGTCAAACACTGGGTACATTGGGGTACACACACACAGGGGTGCATTCAGTCACACACAGGGTTACATAGAGGAACACACAGGGCACATAAAGACACACAAAGGTACATTCAGGCACACACAGGGTACATAGAGGCACACACAGGGTACATAGAGTCACACACAGGGTACATAGAGGCAAGCACAGGGTATACATAGAGGCACACACAGGGTACATTCAGTCAAACACATGGTACATAGAGGTATCACAGGGTTCATACAGTCACACGGAGGGTACATAGATGCACACACAGGGTACATAGAGTCACACACAGGGTACATGGATGCACACACAGGGTACATAGAGACACACGCAGAGGGTACATCAAGGCACACCCAAGGTACATAGAGGTACACATAGGGTACATTCAGTCACACACAGGGTACATAGAGGCACACACAGGATACATATAGGCACACACAGGTTACATAGAGGCACACACAAGCTACATTGAGTACCCTGCAGGGTGCATAGATTCACACACACATGGTACAGCGAGGGCACACGCAGGGTACATAGAGGCACATAAAGGGTACATATTGGCACACACACAGTACACAGAGGTACACACAGGGTACACAGACACACACATGGTACATAGATGCACATACAGTGTACATAAAGGCACATACAGGGTACATAGAGGCACACACAGGGTACATAGAGAGACACACACAGGGTACATGAGTGGAGGCACACAAAGGGTACATTGAGTGCCCTACAGGGGTACATATAGAGTCTCACATGGGCTACATATTCACACACAAGGGTCCATAGAGGAAAATACAGGATACATAGTCACACACGGGGTACATAAAAGCACACACACAGAGTACACACAGGGTCCATAGCGTAATCACAGATTGCATAGTCCAACACAGAGCACATAGAGTCACATGCAGAGTACATAGAAGCACACACATTGTACAGAGGCACACACAGGATACATAGAGGCACACATAGGTACATAGAGGGCACACACAGGGTACATAGAGTCACACACAGGGTACATAGAGGCACACACAGGGTACATAGAGCCACACACAGGATGTATAGCCACACACATGGACCCTGGGGTACTCTATGTACCTTAGTAGAGACACACACAGGGTATAGAGACACATATAGGGTACATAGAGGCACATATAGGGTACATAGAGCACACACATATGGATGCATAGAGGCACACGCAATGTACATAGAGGCACACATCAGGTGCATAGGAGGCACACACAGGGTACATAGAGGCACACACAGTGTACATAGAGGCACACATCAGGTGCATAGAGGCACACAGGGTACATAGAGACACACATATAGAAGTACATAGGAAGCACATATAGGGTACATAGAGGCACACACATATGATGCATAGAGGCACACACAATGTACATAGAGGCACACACAGTGTACATAGAGGCACACACATCGGGTGCATAGAGGCACACACAGGGTACATAGAGGCACACACAGTGTACATAGAGGCACACATCGGGTTGCATAGAGGGCACACACACACATAGGGGCATACACACACAGGGTACATAGAGGCACACACATAGGATGCATAGAGACACACAAAGGGTACATAGAGGTTCACAAAGGGTACATAGAGGCACACACAGGGTACATATAGAGCACACACAGGGTACATAGAGGCACACACATATGATGCATAGAGGCACACAAAGGGTACATAGAGGTTCACACAGGGTTCATAGAGGTACATAGAGTCACACAGGGTAGATGAAGATACACACAGGGTACACATAGAGGTTCACACAGGCATAAAGGTACATAGGGGCACACACAGGGTAGATGAAGATACACACAGGGTAAATATAGGTCACACGCAGGGTACAGAGAGACACAAACAGTGTACATCACTCCATGTACCCCTGAACATGGTTGACAACGTGCAGCAGGTTGCATTTAAAAGGTGTTCATCGGAAAAGCTGATCAGTGATTCCATTCCGCATTCGTGACCAACTCGTGTTAGTCCGGGACAAAGCCGAATGCCCCTCTGGGAGGATTTCATATTGGCGTAGGAACATCAGAACCACTTCAAACAAGAACGACAACTCAGTTCCAACAGTAATAAACATTACAGAAGCACTGAACTGCTGCTTTAAGAAGATTAAAAGATTATAATCCTGTTAAATAAATAAAATAATGAATAATGATGATCAATGATTTGAGTTATAGCATGAATAAGTGTACACGATGTCTACCAGTTGTCTGAACTTGCATGTAACCTTGCTGAAATACCCCAGATGGAATAATATTGCTGACAAAATATATAGGACTCTAAAAATGAAACGCTCAGACTAGAATATGCCCAGTGAAAGTGAAATGTAAGCACATTGATCAAGTTTAAAGATGATTAGCTATATATTGTCTGTTAGCTACTCATTGCTTTTTATATATAATTACATTCACTGAAAATGTCGGGAAGCGATCGTAGAATCTCCAAAACATGCCCGCAAATCGCTTGAAAACACTCAATTGGAAATAGGAGAGCCGGCATGCAAACAAACGCACATCTGTGTATTTGAATATCTCACTTACGGAAAGGGGCGAGTGGTGACGAATGACCATTCCTGTAACATTTAAGGGGACGCAACTCTGAGACAACTAAATCATCTGTGCCTTTGATAGTTCACTTTTCACAGCGGCGAATACACTTTCGCAGAGTAATTGAGGCACACGCTGTTGAGCAGTATTTCAGATATAACACAGCGTATCAGTTTGAGTAAGTCTTCATTTTATTTGTTTGTTTGTTGTTTAACGCCGCACTCAGCAATATTCCAGCTATATGGCGGCGGTCTGTAAATAATCGAGTCTGGACCAGACAACCCAGTGGTCAACATTATGAGCATCGATCTGCGCAACTGGGATACGATGACATGTGTCAACCAAGTCAGCGAGTCTGACCACCCAATCCTTAGACCTATTATAAGCACTTCACGGTGTTTTCCTGGATGGGAGATACGGGTGGTTAAGATTCAGGATGTGAAGTGACCTAACCGAGTAATTAAAGTGAGTGAGTATAGTTTTACCGCTTTTAGCAATATCCCAGCAATATCACGGCGGGGACAAGAGCTTCACACATTGTACCCATGTGGGGAATATAAACCCATGTCTTCGGCGTGAGGAGCGAACGCTTTAACCACCAGGCTACTCCACCGAGTAATAGAAGCCGCCCCTGTGTATACACTGACTTGAATGTATGGACATTGGTCCGCTCAATCTAACCTTAATTTGGGCATGGAGATTAATTAATCGTGAGCCATCGTACCCTGACGGCGTGGAATGTTGCTCAGGATATCAGTCACTGGTTTATCCGGTCCAGACGCGACCATTTTCAGTCAGTCGTCATACAGGTTTGTAGGTGAGTGAGTGAGTTGGGTTTTACACCGCTTTTAGCAATATTCCAGCAATATCACGACAAGGGACACCAGAAATGGGCTTCACACAT